TTTGGCAGCAACGCAAAAGCATAAGCGAATTGCGGTAGTGTGCGGTAAATAGCGAAAGTGAGTGAGATATAAATTTCTATATGTAGTTGTTATTATCTACAGAAAAATTAAACTAAATTTTTATACCCAGCAACATTCTGCGTAATTTACAAAATAATGGCTTATTCTTAAGTAGTTCATTAATATTGCTACATGTCTACCATATTTATTTCTAAGTATATATACATAAAAACTATATTTTTATTTAAATGTAGTATATTGTTAATTTTTTTGTGGCTTTGTTTGGCAATTTGCGCGAATGCATGACTTTCTTTATCAACTATAAAATGAGAATGAGCATATTGATGGCAATTGATGACAACGTAAAAATTATTTTATGAATAAATAATTAAAAAAATACAATACAAATATTTTTTATTTATTTAAATGCAACTTTATCTAACTGGCTAAAAATGTTACTAAATATTAGCAGAATTTTTTAAATGTATGCTTTTTTGGACACTCACACCGCGGGCATTCAAACAACGGCAATAAACTGGTGTAGTAATGAATATGAAGGGAATGAAAACTGGCAACAGCGCATAATACCAAATTTCACACCAGATAACAACTGTGAGCTTGTGAAAACTGGCCACGTTGCTTTAATTCTACAATAAACTTCAAAAATAAACTTTTTCATTACTTTCAGTAAACGCTTTGAAAGTTCCCTTAGTTGGGTGAGTACAAAATATACCGAGATCATTGTGAAAACTATTAGAAATGAGCGCACGTCAAACTCAAGTATCAGTAGCTGACCGTTCAACGCAAAAATATATGAAATTTGTCATATCTGTTGAGGCTTCAAAACTGTTTCGGATTTACGTGGCTCATTTGTTAAAAATTTACAAATCGTTCAATTAAAATTTTATTCGTTTGGTTTCGGATCGTTTCGTTTTTTTTTTGTTTGCTGATTATTTTCTTTCGGGTTTTGAAAAAAATGTGTCTATTGTTGTTGGAATATTATAAGTATGTTATTTACAGAAATTTTTTATGTCGAGTATCATTCTTTGAATCGAGTATATGCTGATAATACAAATGAAATGAAGTTTGAAATGAGTACGAGTATGTGTATTTAACTTACTAGAAAGTTTAGAGAGCTTTTCATGTATTTAGCGAAAGCTATAGACAGTCGCTTAGTAGAAATTTTGAAAGACATTAGCTATTGTATAAGCTTTTAGACGATTTTATAAAATGTTTATTCTTTATATTTTTATAAATATCTTGTTAAAAGTTTTACTTCTCAATAGCTTTCACGTGTTAATCATTACTAGCTTATTTGGTTTTTGTCTTTTCATTTAAAAAATTTAGATAAACTTATGTAATGCTGTGTCAACTATTGGTTTGAGCAGAGCTTTCACAGCGCATTTCATTCGCCCAAAAAGCTTTTTTCTTAAGAAACAGTACTCTGTAAGATTGGTTAAGGGTTTTTTTTTGGATATTCGGAAAATGCCGTGGAACTTACTTACTAGAAAAGTTTCTGAACTTAGAGATCAATATTTAAGAGTAGAGAAATATAGTTTTAGAAAGCATTTAATGGTTATTTATAATTTTATAGCATATATGCAAACTCTCGAAAAATGTAATCGAATTAAAAAAATATTTTATGTCAAAATTTATGTATTCTGTACATTTATAATAAATGATTTTTCTCGCTATTTACAAAAAACTCACACTTCAAATGTGCTATAATATTATTTAGCATTAAAAAATATATATTGAAAAATAAAACTACAACTAGGCACATATTTTACATAACTTGAGAAATTACAACTATTTACTGTGTATGTACATATATATCATCCAATTTAACTAGTAATTAATTAATAATTATATAATAGCGAAAAATCGTCTAATGACAAGAAATTTTTGCAATCACCTGCCTTTACTGTGTGTTTCTTTAAAATAATTCTATGCTTTTTATAGCTTTAAGACTTAATGAAGCTTTTAAGTGTTTAAAAATATAAAATTAGGGTAAATATTTAGTTTATTCATTAAACAAAACGTAAACTTATAACTGCAGTTTACTTGCACTGAATAATTGGAGTTGGTGGTTGTTGTAATAATGGTGGTGTTGTTGTTGTTGTTTTCTTACCTAATGATTTTTATGGTTTGAGTGGCATTTGTCATTGTTGAAGTTGCGCAAATTTTATTACACTAACTTATTTTTAACTATTATACATTTTATATGCAAAATGCAAAAAAAAATATTTGTATAGAAAATTATAATTTATTATATATTTTTCATCTTGAGATCATTGTGATTTTTGGGAATTGTTTTAAGATATTAATTTTATGTTTATTATTTAAACAATTTTTTTTAATCGATTTTTATTGATTTGCATAAATTGCTGTACAAATTTGCTAAGCTTTTTCGGCAAACTCCATTTATAATATTTGCTGTAAAAATTTATTACTGGTTTATTGAAATTTTTTATATTTGTTATATTGTGCTAAGTGAAATATTATTTTGCTATTTTTTTCTATCGTATGACAAATTATGTCAAAAGTTAACAACTAAAAAAAAAACTGTCATGGTTACCGTAATTGTATACCAAGTTTTTGCGTTTTAAATGCAGTGTAAAGTTTAAGGCTCAGAAAGATAATTGTGATAGACCTTGATGGTATTCGATTGAAAATATATATGTTTAATATTTTAAATATTTTAAGGTTATATGCTGAGTGAAAGTTTCATAGAATTGATTTGGTGCTTTTTAAAATTAAGTGATAAATAAAAGTTTCTATTCGTTTTTTATTAGTTGAAATATATTAAAATTGCGTGATAAGTGAAATCTTCATCAAAAGCTTTAGGTGTTAAAAAGTGCTTTCGAACACTATATAAAGTATTTGATGATTTCAAAAAAAACTCACAGTAATGTTAATGAAGGCTATGCTAGAAGTTTAGCCAAATCTTTCATACTAACTTTAATACAATTTCAATCTGTTTTTGTAAATTGAGATATTTTAAAGGGATTTGGTAAATGAAAGCTTCAACAAAAGCTTTAGGAGGAAAAATAATAGTTTTAGAACAGTTGGAGCAAGTTCTTTATGATTTCAAAAAGCACAGAGTAATGAAAATAAAGCTTTAAAGTTTTGAAATTTTAAATTCAAATTAATGTTTGTTAAATGTTACCGCTTAAAATAATTTTACTAAATTCTTCGGAGCAGTTTTTTGACTAATTACAAAATTTTAACGAAGGTAACAAAAGTTAATAAAATATTTCCAGAGTACTTAAGCAATTTATGCAAATAAAAACAATAAAGGTGTTTTGAGACCAATTTGAAAATTATTACTGTAAGTTACAACATAAACTTAATTATTATATTTTATAATTTTTTTTAAATTTTTATTTTTACTTTTTGTGTATTTATGTTTTCACTTTTTAAACAAAACATTTCTTGAATTTTCTTTTATATATTTATTTTAGTGTTTTCTTTAATTTAATGCACTTAACATGTTTCCTAATTATTATTTTACTAACTGTTTATTCACTTTTTTGTCAAAAAAAGCAAAAATTAATAAATTTCACTTTATAATTTTCTTTTCCTTTACAAAAAAGTACGTAAATAAAAACATCACAAAAATGGCTTTCAAAATTACAACTAAGCAGAATTCTGCGCACAATTAGAGCTAAGCAAAAAATTAACTAAAAATTATTTTATATATGTATGTAAGCATTTTTTTATATAGTTGCTGTATATTTTAAAGCATTTAATTCATATTTTAAACGCATTTTTATTATTTACAAGTGTATATTTTTTTGTAAATTTTTTTATATAAATCTTTTTTTTATTGCAATACTATTTATTTGTAATTCAAATTACAGCGAAGACTTCGATTTTTTGTTTGCAGTTGTGAGCAGTTTATTTTAACAGTTATTTATTTATAGTTTATTTTTATTTTTGTAAAATTACTTCAGACATTTTCTATTAGTGTGCGAAAATTATTATGTTTTAAATATTTCTTTACAATTTAGTTATTTTTTTTTTTAATTTTGTGCAATTTTTTTTTCTTTTAATAATATTTTAATATTCCGATTTTAGCACCTTGCCACTTAATTATAATCATAATGACATTGTATTTTCCAAAACTGTCCTTACTTTTTCGTGGAAAATATAACGATTAATTATACTTTTTATTGTGTTTTATATTATTTATTTTATTTGAGCCAGCTTCCGTTGAGTGAAACGAAAAACTGTTAGCGATTGCATTAAAGCTTAAAGTTCTGTATAAAGTATTAGCATTTTCTAATTTTTACGAAGAATATGAGCTTATAGATAAGATGAGAAGAATTTGAGAGTGTGAAAGTTTATACTTTTACAACAAAAAATGTATTTAAATAGTAAGCTTCTTATTGAAGACTTGCAAAAGAAATTTGATGTTTTTGCGCAGTTATCTAGGGTTCAAAAATACTGTTTAAAGAGAGAATAGCAGTTAACTCTTTTCTAGAGCCATTTAAGCTGTGTCATGGAAGAAGTAAATAACAGCAAAGTTAATATTATTAATTAATTCATAATATTTATAAAAAACTGAGCTTTTCTTATACAAATGCTTATAAAAATGCGAATCAATTTAAACTTTTGTATTCCAATAATTGCTTTGTTTACAAATTACAATTTTAAAGCTGTTAATTTCATTTTAAAGTTTTATTTAAAATGTAATAATTTTTTTTTTTGCATTAGAAAACCAGTGTTTTGCAAACTTTAGGCTAAATAACATACTAAACATTTTACATTTCCCATTTTTTGTAAATTTATTTTCAATAAATTTAATTTTACTTCCTACTTCAGGAAATTTTGTAAAGTTCAGATTTTTTTACTAAATACAAGTATTTGATGTCAAAAATTTTACCGTGTATTTTTTAGTCTGAAAATTTTCAGGAGTTAAGCTTTTTTTAATGTAATGAAAAGTATTTAATTATAAAAATTTTTTTTTTTTATTTTGTTGCATAATAAATTGTGTGTTTATATTAAAAAAAAAATTGGTTAATCATGTGATTCATACTCATTGTTGATATAATTTTATGTATGGATTTTTTTTGTTTGTAAAATATTGATTTTTAAGCAAATGGTTGATTTTATTGCATATTTTCCGCGTGTAGCAAAAGAGATATGCAGTTGCTTGTGTTTTTATTTAATTTCGATTTATGTTGTATTTTATATACAATTATTAAGCTTTACACAATTTTTAATGTCGGAAAATATTTTTTTTTTTGGGGTTTTAGTCAATTTTTTCCTTTTTAATTATGCATTTTTTGTTTGTTTTCTGTCTAGTTGCCGTTTTTTTGTAAATATTAATATTAATTTATAAATTTTTTTTGTAATATTCTTGTAAAGATTTTCGCTTACAAAGTTCAGTTATATTATTAATTTTTTTTTATAAATTGTAAAGTATTGTTAAACTGTAAAATTTGTAGCAAAATTTTATGTTTTTCAATATTTCATATACATAAAGTTATAAAATGTTCATTTTATCAAAAATATTGCGCCAACTTTCTGGTTTCAAAAAAAAATTTATTTGATTATTTTATATTTTTATTTAAACCCGAAATTTTTCTTTGTAGCATAACAAATGTGCCATATTACAAATACTTCAAAATTTTTATCAAAAATATTCGCATCTGTTTTAGAAAGAGATGTGTACCTTCAGTACTCAAAATTAGCGATTTTCAGCTGTCAAGATCAAAAATTGTGATTACTGCTTTGTTTGTTTTTACGTTTAATTTACTGTTAGTTTGCGATTTATTTTCAAAATCTTAGAAAATATCTAGTTATTAAATATTATTTTTTATAAAGTTACTCTTGCGTGTTTTGTTGTTGTAGTTTTCTCAATTTTTAAATTGTCTTAGTACAAATGCTGCCTAACAACTTCTGAACAGTCTTGTCTGTTACACATTTAGATAAAAAAACGTACAAAATTCTCAGTAGAAAAATACTTTTTCAAGCACAAGTTGCTTACACTTAACGGCAGTTGCAATTCATATGTTTGTATATGCGAAATTTCCACGTCCAAATACGGCAGAGATTTTCAGTCAAATACTCGTATGCGTGCATATGTATGTATATATCTACTATAAATGCCTACATTTTACAAAAATATTATTTGCTTGTGTTAAAAAATGTTAGTTTTTCGCTTTCAATACGTTTTTAAGTTTTTGTTTCGCCTTTGAGTTCGTTTTGTGTTTGTGGTGTGTAAGAAAAGCTTCGTTGATTAAAAATTCGGTTTCGTTGTCGCACACGGTGCGCTTTGCTCGCTATCATACTCTCTCTCTCTCGCCATGACGCCGTCTCTTTCTTTCTCTTTTCCTCGCTCTTCAACTCTTTCGTTTACATTGCTGCGGTTTGATGAGCTCTTTCCTCAGTAGATCCGCAAATCGTTAAAAATTAAAAACTACCTCACGTTTCCACTCTCGAAAATATTTCTCTGTCAAGCCGCTCACCACTGTGTCCTCTTAAATGTGGCGCGGCGTACATTCGCCTCGTTCCACGCGCTACTTGCGCTTCCATAATTCACTTTCACGTTTCACATTTCTGACGAAAATTTCTTTACCTTTAGATATTTCTCTTTCATATCCCTTTATTGCCTTGAAAAGCCCAAGGCGTTCTGGCTGTTTTTAACACTTTTCATTTGTGCTTTGTTTTTTAATGTTTTTTCTCAAAATTTATTTATTTTTATTATTTATTCTTTAAGTGTAAATCTTTTTTTTTGCATTGCTTTACTGTTGCTTGCTTTTTAAATTGTAAGTATAGCTGCGGCTGTTGCTGCACGAGCTTCACATTTGGTGCACTCATCGCGTAACAAGGAAGCCACAACCCATTGCAACAACGATGACTGTGACGACAGTGGGCCAGATGAAGCCCTTGAATGGCTGCTAGAAGAAAGAAGAGAGAGAATAGTAAATTTTGGGTTTGAATATCATATGTTTTAAGAAATATATTATATAAATACTATAACCTCAAATTTTATTTGAATTGAGTAATAAATTTATATTTAATATAAGAAATTATATATATTTTTAATATTGCTACAATCAATTATGGGTATTATGACTGGACGGCAATAGGAAACAGAACTCACTGCGATCTAGCATCTGAATGATTTTTTTGAAAGTGATATTCTTCAATATATTGTTCTTCAATTGAACGAGTTGTGAATCTTAGAGAATTTATACCAGGATCGCAAAATGGTTTCTATGGTGTTCTTAAAGGATCTTGTGTTGTAGGCATGAGCTCAAAAATGTTAGTGACCTCGGCTCACTTAAACTTGTGTGAACACTTTTTTAATTTTCACCATCTATAGGACATATTTTACCTTTCAACTACTTTATTTAACAAACCAAATTCTTTAATATCTGTTTACAGCGAGAAACTATTACATAATGGCTAATGGCGATCTCTCGCGGTAAAATCTAATATGTCGAACATCTTTCCATTAGCGATCGTCACATAACGAAATATGAAGTCAATTCGGAGGAACATTTTAGATATTATACAGTTCGGATGTTTTTTGAACGCTAACGGGTTGCTAACTAATCATAGACTACTTGACCAGAAAACTGATTCTACGACTAAATGAGCTAACTCAGAGATTATTCGAAAAGTGCGGGAAAAAAATTCAATGAAAAGCATAAATAAAGAACTCCTACTTATACTTCTAGTGGTGCACTAAAAACGAACTAATTTACAACTGGTTCAAAATACCCTAGAATCGAACTAGTTTACTACTGGTTTTCTCCCCACTACAGTATAATCCAACGAAATGAATTATCTGTGCACTTACAAGACTAATATAAGTGACAATAAACGATTTTAATAATCAAGTGGATTTTAATGCTATCCATAATATCACTGATATATATAATATATATTCCAATAAAGTTCGAAAACTTGTGGCATTAAAACAGCATTGCTCATTTATTCCAAAGTAGAAGTAAATCAAAAAAATCCAGCTAAGTTCTAATCTCAATAGCACTTAATAGGCTATTAAATGTATTATAGCAACACTTTGCGACTGAAAACACAGGCAGATATATTTACATACATACCTATGTATATAGATAATTTCAATAACAACCCCCCGCATGCGAACTCAGAACACCTGGAAGTGTCCCTGTCCGCTTACAGGCTCTAGATTGCGTGTACACTTGTGTAGGTATGTAGCAGTGCCTATTTATATATCTGTCTCTGTGCAGCTAATCTCTATTTCGTTTCGGGTGAAACTGCCAGCGATGTTCATCGGCGGCGCATAAAATCCTCCCCAAAGACCAATTTACACGTGCACTTTAACATTAAGGCAGCACTTAAGTATGCATCTCATACTTATGTTCTTGTATGTATTTATGTGGTTATCAATAAATAATATTTATGTTCGCGCCACTGGCATTTGGTAAATGTAACAAATGCGCTTATAATTACAATAAAAATGTGCCGAAAATTGCTATCAATGCCGTTGTTAGTCCACTAGTGGACATATAAATATTTTGTGGACAGACACTTCAATGCCTGTATGCATGTATAGGAGTGTGTATATGAGTGGGGTCACTGCGGTGCATAAATAAATAAACAAATGTTTCATTATAATTGCGGTCAGTTAGTTTGCTATTTTTTCTTGAAACTGAAATATAAGTATATTTATTATTTGATTACTTTTTCGCTTGATTGCTCATTATATGTTATTGTATTTGTATTTGAGTGACTTTGAGGTGGAAGAGGGTGGTTTGAGCATGCCTTGCTTTTATGCAAATGCAGTGTGTCATCTTTTTGGTTATACATTTACATAGCTTTTGGTATTATTCACAGTTTAATTGTTTGGAAGAAGAAAGGCATTTCGAACACTTGTTTCAATTTTTTGTTTTTTCCAAGAAATTATGCCCATATTTGGTGGCAAAAATGTTGATAAAAAAATTTAAGAACGTAGCGTGAAAAATTGCCACAGTAAAATCTGAAATGTAGAGCTAAAAAAATTGTGAATGAAAAGAATCGTGAAATAAAAAATGTAATTATTTACTAAATATTTTTGCATTATTGAGTGAGCTCTTATAGCATGTACTAAAAAAAATAGCGCTATTTTCTTCTAAAGGATTATTTTTTTCGTTAAAGAAATAAGTACAATCTTTTAAGATTAACGTCTAACGTAAGTAACTTTTGAGAGAATTCCACTTAAATGTCTCACATTTTTATAAAGTAAAATGGAGCAGACATTAAATGTTTTGCATACAATATTGCAAGGGGCAAAGAGATGTTTAAGTTTGTGCTTGTGTTATGTTCTTTGTAATTTTAAAGGCTTTTCTGCTAAAGATAGCTTACAAAATCTCATGCTAGTACTTTTCTATAAAATTTTAAATTGCAGCCGATTGGTCAAGTACACTTTATTAAGACTTTTTATAAAAAAAAGCCTGAGTGAGCTTAATTGCTTCTTCCCAACAAGTCAACTGAAAGTCTTTGATGCATGTCGATTCCTTCCTTATTACTGTTTTTTTTTTTTTTTACTTAAGTTACTCGTTAGGGTTTGTAAAACAATATTTATCTGGTGGAATAGTAAAAATCTTTCCCCACTCCAAACCGTTGTAGTGCCGAATCGGTTTAGGTGAGTCAGCTTTAGCACGTAAAACTTTAATTTTCAAAACGAGTGGGTATAGTATGCGAACGTATTCACTTTATTTTTAAATTCTGTTTATTTATTATATTATTTTTATACTTTTTTATTGTCAATTTTGACCCAGTAGGCGCCATTTTATGTCAAAATGTCAACACTAAACTTTTTTGTGCATATAAATGTATTTTGAGATGGCGAGAAATTCGATTTTTTTCCTTACCTTCGGAATAAGCTATCAAAATTGAGTCTTTTTTCTTAGGGTTATGTACAATAAGCCTAATTTCTTTAAGAAATATCTAAAAAAAAGCTGCTAAAAATTAAAAAAAAATTGTGTCTTCATTTATCATATCTTTTTTTTTAACGTTTTCCGTACTCCTTTCCTATTTAATAATTTTATTTCACTTAAACTGCAACTAGTAACCAAATGCAGCCTGTTATTTTACTTCCTAATCAGAACGTAGCACACAGCTTTTAAATCTCCTGTTTAAAAAAATGCAAGGAAAAAGAATCTCACCATGATAAATGCAATTGAAATTTGAAACTGTAATTACGCGCTTCAGTAAACAACTAGAAAAGGTCATTAACATACAAAAGCAAAGCAGAAAATTACATTTCAACGCAAGAGCTGAGGGAAAAGTGCAATAAAAAATTAAAGATATATGTATGAGCTGCTCGCAGCAATGCCTGCACCTACATAAATACTTAGGAAGCAATAAAAATAATTACAATGACAGCTGTGCGCAACAGTTGCTGACAGCAGCAAAAAGTAAAAATAGGCGAAAATCAAAAAATTTGTTATCACAATTAAAATGTGTCATACAAAGCAACTAATAAATTACGGTAAACTTAATAAAACGGCGCAAAAAATATTGAATTAAAGTAAATTAAATTGAGACGCATAAAGAAAAAAAAAATTAAACAACAAAAAAATTGAACAAAGCGCTCGTAAAAACCGCCTGTATTTGCATTTTCTGTTTTGCTGCTGCTTAGAAATCCACATAACATAAAAAGTCCACATAATATAAACAGCGCGCGTAACTTAAGCGAGCAGCCAGCCACATAATACCAAAAGCGCGCGAAACTAAAGCGAGCAGCCAGCGCGGCGACAAAGGCATGACGGGCAAGCGCACTCAGCTGGGCAGCCGGTGTGGTGGATTCGAGTGACAATAAAATTCGTATTTTTCGCGATAAATTTTAATTGCGCAGCTTTGCGACGTCAATAAAATTAGCAAACTGTACTAACAGCAAAAACAAAAAATACAAAAAAAAAATTTACAACAAAAAAAATATATGCTGTAGAAAAAAGGTTTTGCCGCTACTGACAGCAAGCGCCTAGAAACCTGCTAGCTTTTAGTGACAACACACTGCAGCTCCACTCCTCACCCTCTCTCTTTTTATCAACAGGCAGGCAGCTCGTGTTCGGCGGACGTGTGCTTGATGGCACCACTGCGCTGGTGTCCATTGGCCCGCATGCCTATCATTGGCTCGTCAGCGACTTAGATTGCATTTTGCATTTATTGTAATTACTGCAGCGTAATAAAATTGTTACGGTTTCTATGCATATATACATACACACACATCTACTTCTTTGCGGTAGTTTTTTTAATTTGTCGGCCAACGTTCGTTCGCCTTTCGCATGCGGCCACACAAGTGTTTCGAAAACAAAGAGTTTCGAAAGCTTCCTTTATGTGCGTCTATAAATGAATGAACTGTGTCATATTGAAGTTTTTATTATACAGTATTCTACTATTCTATGTTGTTGCCTTTTTTGCACGCCCTGCACTATGGTGCAATTTACGTCTTAAATTATGAAGAACACCTGTGGTTATAGGCGGCACATTTGTGTTTACAAAGTAATGCGAAGACTTTTTTGCTAAAAATATTTTTTTAAGTAAGCTTTTTTTTTTTGAAGAATAAATTCTTTGTTAATTATTCACTCATTATCTGTTTTGTTGTAGGATGTAAGTGAAAGTTTGCTCGAGGAATGTTAAGGTATGTTCTATAGCGAAGATGAGTAATGTTGCTCTTAGTAGGTTATTTAAAGTATATTACAAGCTAGTCAGTATAAATTATAAAGTAATCATTGCACTTTGCTTAGATGCATTTTTATGTTCCATGTGGCATAATATTATGTATGTATATATATCAATACTATTGATTAAATATATATCAATACGGTGTACTATAAGTTACTCACAAGCTTGTGAGCGAATTAAAATATAGCACCTGTCTAATAGAGTTCGACCGAAAAATCGACCAGTATTAGCCAAAAGTATTGCCAACGGCCAAAAATTTCGAAAAAAAGATTCCACAGATCCTTGTGATTTTTGTCAACTGTTGCAAAAAATCTGATTTTCTTTTAAGAAACTTTCGTTAATTTCATAAAATATTCGTTTGCTTAGCAAAAATTTATATAATTTTCCTTATGATTACAATAATCTGCCAAATACCGAATTTAAAATCATTAAATTTTTTTGTTTTATTTTAGTTGATAATCATATTATTTTGTCTAACAACTTGTGTTGCTATATTTCAGTTTCTATTTGCGTTCTATACTTTATAATATTCAGAATTTTATAGTTTTGAAATAGCATTTATAATAAAGTTCATTTAGTGACTTACTCTTTCTCTCACCTTCTTCTCTGACTTTGATTTTGGCACATCCTTTTTCTTCTTTCGTGGCGGTATTCGTCCATTAAATTCCTGTAAACGTTCACGGCCGGCTGTAAAATTATCGAAACGGTCATCGAACTCATCCCAGCTGGTCTCATGCTCGCTATGATATTCGCGTTCATCATCGTTGGTGGTTGATGTACGACGCGAGCTATATGAATAAATAAGAAAAATAATTATTACATTCATTAAAATAAGACACAAGTGACAACAAAGATACATGTGTGAAAGAAAGAAATGCTATAGATTATAAGTAATCAGTCTACATTTTTCAAATTGCATGAAAGTGAAAATCATGCTGCCTACATACTTGTATAAAAAATTCTTAAGTTAGCGCAAAAAACTGCGATTTTTTATCAGAATGCATAATTGCACAAATAACAAAGAATAAGTAGGGATCATGTGTGTGGGGGAGGTGAAACGCCGACACAAATGACCAGCTGCGAATTGTGCTCATTCTCATGGCGATAAAAGAATTATATGTGTAAGCGATAATATAGGCGCTACGATCGAGACAAGCCAATCGACGCAGTTATGCTTGTAAGTATGCACGTTTCAGCTGGAAGTCTTAAATTGTAGTGATTATCTTAGCACCCGAGCATGTCGCGCATGTCGATATGTATAGCAAGCGTTAGCTGTATGGGAAGCTGGGGGCTTGTACAGTTGTCGACGGCTGCTGTTAAAATTGGCGTTGCCAACTGACTAATAGCGCTGGCGTACAACACATTCGGTGCGTAAAAACATGTCATGGGAATTGATATTTTTAGCACATAAGCAGCAGGCAACAAAAGTGAGATTTCGCAATCTAAATGGCGCGTTAATTTGTTGAGGGAGCTGCTGTCGGTCGTTGATCGCGCGCACATTAATATAACGTTCGCCCGCAAATCATACGCTTTCACACATACGAACGTCATCAGCGGCGCTATATGCTTATAGTTGGCGTTTTGCTTAGCACATCGCACTACTGTATAAAGTAGGCGTTGCTGGACGATAAGAGAATGTATAAACGCGTGATTTATAGAAATGGAAATTTGGTAGAGCGGCGACAATGAGTTTTATTCTTGTATATTGATTTTTTTTGCGCATTTTGACAATTTCATAGTTACAATACACCGTTATATCCAGGTTTCGTTAAGTTATGAAAACAATTTAATGTATTGGAAACACGTGAAAGGTTGAGAAACATTTTTTTTGCACTTTCGTCCAGTTTCGAAAAGTTTTGTGAAGTTTCGTTAAGTTTCGAAAACTTTTCTTAAGTTTGGGTAATCAACATTCATCGTCAATTGAGGGGCTTTTGAACAAATTTTAGCTAAATATGATATTTGCCGTCAAATGTTGTCTCAACTTTCGTTAAGATCTTTTAAGCATTTATTAGACAAATATGTCAACAGTCGTCAAGTATAACAACAACTTCGTTAGGTTTTGAAAATTTTCGTTGAGTTTCAAAAAATTTCTTTCAAAATTTCAAAAATTTCTTTAAGCTTGAAAATTCCTTTTTTTATGATTTAGAAATTTAAGTCGAGTTTCAAAAACGTTATAAAATGAATTCTTCCAATTTTAGTCACCACTTTGATAAAATTTAAAATGTAGAGTAGTCTGCGCTCAATATAAAAAAATATTCGAATTTTATAGTTCTTCACTTACCGCTTTTGTGCATCTGAGAGGCTACGATGCAATCGCGAATGTCCGCTCATGCCACACGAGGTCGTCGATGTTGATGTCGACGCTGTTGCCACACAACCGCGTTGGTGCGTTGTCGCTTCCGTCGCACCGAATACGTTGCCGGTGCAGGTGCTTGCATTGGCGGTGAGCGGTGTCGGCGGTGGTGTATATTGATAATATGGATATGGTTGGTATTGTTGTTGTGGCGCTGGTTGACTATGTGCACCATTGTGACTACTCGACGGCATGGGTGGTGCCGATTGCGGCGGTTGTAGGTGTGGTCCGCTGCTGCAACCGCCACTGATATTGTGATGACGAAAGAAGGTATTCTCTTCGCCAGCAGCATAACTGACACTGGTGCGCGGAGTACGTGGTGTACTAAGACTGAGTGGGAAGAATACTTCGCCATTGCCGACACCGGCACCAGCAGGACCGCTGCCGCCGCCGCTACCTGTATATGGTGAGGGGCTGTGGACTTGACAGCATGGACTGGCTGGCGGGGGATACTGGAAGGCGGTAGCATCTGGAAGTAGAAGAAATTTCCGAATTTAGAATGCTTCTTGCTTCATTTTTAATGTTTATAGTAGTTGCTAGTCAAAAAAAGTTGTAAAAAAGTTTCGTTAAGTTTCTGTTTATTCCATTATGTTTTATAATAAAGTTAAGAGACAATCTCTCGAAACCAAATGCATATTTTTCAAGTTTAATCAATAGGTTTTGGCCAAATAAGCCTAAAAAATTTCGTTAGATTTTTTATTATTTCGTTAAATTTGAGAAAAATGTTTAAAAAAATATGGTATTGTAGTAATAATTAATAATTAAATAAAAGTAAAAAAAATTTACCGAATAAGTCAAAAAAAGTTCCGTTAAATCTTTCGTTAAGTTTTACAAAAGTGTTAAAAATAAATTGCTATAATATAAGTAATAACTTGTTCCAAAATATAAATTACATGGCTCCGAAATCTACTACTTGTAAATAAAGTTGTGAGAACATTCTTATGGCTCAGGCTAAAAATCACAAGGCACCTGAGATCAAGTGATCATACATATATGATTTCTAAAAATATTGCACATGTGCAGCCATGGCGTCGGCATGTTAAATTAACTGCACAAAAACAACAACAACATTATATGCTATGGAAGCAGCCTAGCTCTTAATGTATTTAAAGCGTTTTAATGCAATCGCGAAATCATAAAAATCAATCAAGCAGAAGAAGGCATTTAAAAGGTGCAAATAAAGCAGAAATAAAACATGAAAAAGGTGCCAATAAAAATTGCATATAATTTGCATGAAATTATACAAACTATTCTGTAAAGTATGTAGAAGTTGCATATATCACTTAGCGTGCATACACACACACACACACACACTCGTATGGCAATATATTTGCATATATGATAAATGTAAGTGTTTAGGAGCTATGTGAGTACACATGCTTGATTTATGCGAATGCACGGCTAATAAATGCAAACACAACTTGCCACTTTGCATATTGCTATGTAATTTGAGTTATGCTGTTTTCCTTATTTACGGACTTTTGATTGTTTCATATGTAATTTGCTCTTCTTTGATTTTAAACGGCACATTAACTTTTGAATTGCTATTTTTTTAATAGCATACGAGTATATCGTTTATCGATTATTTGTTATCGGTGATTATTATCTATATAATAAATATATTTATATATGACCATTCTCTATAGCATAAATACTGTTAAATAACATTTTAGAGTTATTATTGGTTCTATAACTCTTTATATATAATATTATGCTAAGTTCTCCAATAGTTTTAATTATCAAAATATTTATATACATTTTTTTTATATAATATTTTAGTTTCATATGAAAAAAGGGGTGGTTATTCTTTAAGAAAAAATTATAATAAATAATAAAATATAAATTTGTTTCTAATTTTGAGGAAGCTCGGAGGAATAATTTTTATAGCAAAAATGTTACGCAAAATTTTGTAAAATAAATATATTAGAATTTTTGTACAAATTTTTTTTTGTTCCAAATTTTTTTCGAAACATTTTTGCATAAATGTTTATTTTCCAAATTTTTTTTTTCGAAAAATTTGTGTCTTTCAGCAATGCGCCATTAACTGCTACCGCCAATAATTCGTGGCAGCCTCCAAAACAGTGACGCAATTCTGCACATTTGACCTACTATCCTTGATCTCGCGCGCACATTGATAGCCACAACATGAAAAGCTAACAGTTACAGCTATGTATCTAAATGGCAAGACAACTTCAAAAATAGCAACAGCAGTCGGCGTTAAATGAGCAACATTTAAAAGGGGAAGAGCAGGGGTGTGCAGAGCAATAGCAAAAGCTGTGCAAACCTTGCGCTCAGCTGTTCAAATGTTTAATTTCATTATGAACGGACGCTTGGCCGCAGACAACAAAAGCTAATGGAGCGTAAATTTGTTGTTATTAACATTTGTGGAGGCAACTGGCATGATTGTTGGCTGTGGCTGCAGGCAGCGGCACGAACTATGCAGCAACCACTCCTTAACAGCGAGAAGAATGAGTAGAAGAAGAAGAAGAAGAAAAAACAATTTTTATTAATAAAAAAGAAGAAAAAAGTTGGTAACTAATTTCATGATTGCTGTTGTTGGTAAGTAACATTTGAAACACGCTTACTGGCACAGCAACATGTGCAGCTTATTTCCTTTATTGTTGTTGTTTTGCTATTTTTTTCTATCACGCGCTGACAATGATGTATAAGCATGCATAAGCATTTGTTGGCATTAGCCGCTAGCTAGCTAGCGCACGTGAATTGCTCGTTCGATTGGCCGCTTTGCTAGCGGGCGCGCAAGCTTTAAGCAGCTGAGCAGCGGGGCAGCTGTCGCCGTTAACCTTGAAATGTAGTAGCATCATTAATTCCATTACAGCATAACACTTGGTGGATTTGCTGTCATTTGCTATTTTATAATGTAGTTTTTTGCAGCTCGTGAAGCTGAAGCGCAATAATGGTAGTAATAAAGTAATAACAATAACAGCTTGCAATGCAATTGCATTATATGATCTGCGTTCTGCAGCGTTGTTGGCATTTAAAGTGGCATTAGAACAATATAAGATATGAGTTAGCGATTTTTTTCGAATTTTTTATTGTTGTATTTTTTGTAGTTATGCTGTTAATCTGCTGTTAGTGTTAGGAGTGCGGTTTTTACGGTTTTTGCTAATGAAGCATGAAAATTAAATTGTTGGAATAATTACAACAATAGATAAAATTGTAGAAAAATACAACAAAAACAACAAAAAATTATGAAATGGTCGGCTTATGTGAGGAAAAATTTCGAAGGAGGAGAGAATATAAAATGAAAAAAAGTGAAATCAAGGTGTGATGGGACTAAAAGGATCAGTATCTCTTTTTTCTAACCATGTTAATGATAAGATGAGGTAGAAAATAAAGCTTTGGACTAAGGGTGTCATTCTGAGTTGCCTTTTGTAAAAAAGATTTAGTTAAAGCTGTTTTATTATCAAAATAATATTACAGAATATACATTCAGTATATCGTGAACTTAAATTTGATATAAGTGTCTAAAATATTCAGGGTTGCATTTTAACGGTATAGCTGTATGCACTGAGAATGTAAATCAGTTTGACATACAATTTTTGCGTTTACTCCATACGAGAGATATGTGTAAGAAGAGATAATAAGTATCCACGTGCCTTAATCTTCACTGAGAAACTTTGTTAGAAGTTTTAATCTTTAAAGTACCGGAAAATCTCATGAAAATTATTATATATCTACTGATGTATATCACTTTTTATATAGTATTGACTGCTCCAACCTAATCTAGCATAGTTGCAGCATTAAACTTCCTTCAATAAAACAATCGGACTGTAATCATTGTTAAAGTAAAGTGACGGCCACAAATATTTTCTCAGCCGCAAGTTACTTCAAAGGAAATCTTGCCGTCTTGGAATTTATCTTTGCGGTATACATACATACAAGTATGTTATTGTTGTAATTAGTAAGAATATTTTTATCACATAAATGCTAAAAGATTTCCGTAATAGCTGCGCATTGTTGTAATTTCTTGTTTAACTTGTTTTTTTTTTTTAATTTTTCATCTATTAGGAACATGCATGTATTTATAGATTCAAGTAGTTTTGTTGTTATTATTTAACTAATTAAAAAACCATTACAACGCTTTGTACAGGATTTTCGCAAATCATGTCTCTTTTATAGCATTTTTCAATATAATTTCCGATTCTTTTATGATTGTAGTGATTGAATGCGCCGTTTCGAGGCAGACAATAAAGCGTTTGCGTTACATTTTGTTGACTATTTTGATGCTTTGATAAGTTGCCGCATGTTGTTGGATATGCGCTGTTGGAGTAGTAGCTTCAGTGGGGCAGTTTTTTACAGCAGTTGAATGCTGTTTGTGTTTTTAAGACAAAAGAAATGACAAAGATGATGAAAAATGAGAGTGAAAGTGAGAAGGGCATACTAATGGTTGAAAACTTAAAAGTTTAGAGGCATTTAATTAAAAATGAGTTAACTCAGTTAATAATTAATACAGCAATAATAATTATACAACAATTATAATTGTTAAGTCATTTATAAAGTATTTAATAAAATGTCATGCAAAAACATGGAATTTATTTCAATTTCAAGTTAATCACTATAATTTCTTCATTTTGATTAATTAAGAAGTTATTTGAACATGGAATTGAATTATTGATTGTGTGGGTAGAACTTATTTGATTAATAGTGGTAAGCTCAAATCAATTGGCGTAAAATATGACTAATAATAAAAGTCTTCAATATATTTATTAATTATATACAACTTTATTTGATTGCATTAATTTTTAAGACTAATTGTTAGTCACATTTTACTTTTCAAGTCACAAATGCAGTCATTTTTCAAAACAGTTAAATCAGATGTTAATTGTTAATTGAAAACAAATAAATTCTAAAACTAATTTCATTGAGTGGAAATCATTTTTGAATTGAATGCATAAGTTAAGTCAGGTGACTTAAATGAATGAATACTAATAAAAATGTTGCTTATTTTTATAAATTTTAAACCAACATATTCGATTGAATTGATTTGAAATATTAGTTGTTAATCATGTTTTAATCTTTTAATTATTAATTAATATATTAATTTTTTATTTTACTTGTTAGTCGCTGAATTAATTAAATTGGCTGAATTAATTTTTCAAAACAGTTAAGTAATTTCTTTGTCATAAATTCAAATACATTTGATGTGATTTCTTTTATGTGCTTAAAAATATTTAGTTTAGTAAAACAAACAACCAAAGTTCATTATTTGATTTTTTAGTCACCGATTAAGTCTCGCATTTAGTTGATAAGCCTTTTGGACTTATGCACTACAAGTAAAATTAATGACCAAAGTAAATTTACAAAAACTGCAGATAGATAAGAATTATAGTGAGAACAAACGCTAAGGTAGTTAAAAAATACCCGATAGGTATCAGTAGAAACTATAAGACGTATTTTCTCATGCAAAAGTTTGACCAAGTAATCACGTCTGCGCACACGCATACACAT